ATGCCAGCACACTCTGCTAAAATGACTTTTCTGGGTTTTGCCTTTAAATAATGCCCTCTACAAGCGCAGAGTACCTCTTCTCACTAGTTGTACTAGTAATCTTGATGAGGTTCCTACCAGCTTGCATTGTGCATTTTGGTGAGTCCCTCTCCCTGGTGGTCTTTCGGGGTCCCCACACACTGGGCATAATACTTTTGTTTCCATACTCTATGAGGTTTTTTTTTCAATTTTTCTTAGTCTGGTATAGATTTTTTTAATTATAAAAATTACAAAGGCTCATATGTTAGCATCTGAATTTCTATGACTGAAATCTTGAGAGATCAAAACAAAAGAGATTGAAGTAAAGCTTACAACCTTTATTCAAAAATGCATAGGCAAAGACAAGAAAAGCAAGCTGTACAAAAGAGATGAAAGAAAATTCTAATTCTTATGTATTGAGTAAGGTAATGATTCTCTGGAGTCCAAAGAAGAAAAACAAGATTGTTATTTAAAATATTTTGTCCTTGCATTAAGGTAGAAAAATACAAGACTATTAGGTAATTATGGAATAAAAGCTCTTCTAAAAATAAGTATTTATTATGGACCTACGTATAGAGTATTGTGGGTTATTATACCTCTTTTAAAGGCCAAAGAATGAGCAAACAGGACTGTGTGTACAAAATAGTTATTTGATACTCTTATATTATTACAGTCCATGTTTGACTCATTCAAACTACATTGCTAGAATTATAAAAGTTTTTGAAACATACTAAAAAGTACAGATAATAAAGGATTAAGATATGTTCTCAAAGTGGTTGTGGATGTCAGGAGGACTATGATTGTCCAGGCTTTTAGTGAATAGGTCACAGACAAAAGAGTCCACTGGGGGAAGAAATAGGGGTGCTATAGCTTGAATATTAAATACACTCCATAGGCCAGTGAATCAGACATTTGTCCCTAGTGGGTTCTGTTATACTAAGAGGCTCTGGTGGGAGTATGTCACAAAGTCACAATCTTCCAGGGGCAGAGTTTTCTTTTTCTTATGAGTCCTTTGCTCTGCTTCCTGTCCACCATGATGCAAATTGTTCTGCTCCACCATGCTAGATGTTGAAGTTTAGATCAGTCTTTAAATAAGATCTGGGCTCAAAAGAAGCAATCAAATCTGAAAATGAAAAAGAACAAAACTCCCTTGGAGATATTGCTCAGATTGCATGGTATTTCATTCTGTTACAGTGATAAATTAATTTTCTGTCTGTTTTTATCACCAGTGATTCTCAGAGAAGAGTGGCAGATACTTCAATGAGTCAGCATTTTCAGGTGGCCACAGATTTTTCCATTTTGGTAGGAGTGATAAGAATTCTTATCAAACACAAATTTTGATTCCTTACTGAATCTTGTTTTATACCATCTCATAATTTATAAGAATTGATTGGATAATATAAAAAAATTATCTAACAGTGATTTTCCTTTTCCTCCTTCCCTCTCCTTTTCCCTCATCTGTTCAATAGTTCATCTTTTCTTCTTTCTTTTCTTTCCTTTTCTTTTTTCTCTTCACTTCTCCTCTCCTCTCCTCTTGCCTTCTATTTCTATTGCTTATAAATTAATAACTTGTCTTATTCTAAGTAAAATTGCAGAAAAATGTAAACTTCTTACAGTAGAACTAAGCTATTGATGAGACTTTTTAGTAAATGTATGTATATATATATACTTATTATCATATAGTATATGTTAATTAGTATATGTAAAATAGCTTCTTAGACTACTGGCTGGAAGGATTTGAATCTCCCATGATCTTTAACTATTTGTTTTACATTCATGGTTATGTAACATTAGATGCTAATAGTCTTTCAATATGACATCATGTGTTAGTTTTTCAAATTTAAAATCGGAAGATGAGTTAGAGCAATGGCTCAGAGTTTAATAGCTCTTGCAGAGGATCTCAGTTTGTTCTGAACATCAATATCAGTCAGGCAATTCACAACTGCCAGTAGCTCTAGATCTAAGTAATCTGAAATCTTCCTCTGCCCACTCCAACACATGCTTGCACACAAAAGTATTTAAACATAAATCTTTCAGAATAAATCTATCCTGGGTGGTTGTGAGAGTTCTTAAGTATTTTCAGGAGTCCTTAGAAGTGCAAAAGGAATAGGAAGGTCAGACAGCAGAAGGAGTATGAAAACTTTTCTGTGTTCTCTCATTGCCTTTACAGATGGGTAGTGGCTGTTGAAAATTAAAGACTACAGATGTCCATTAGAAATTGCAAATGAGCCTTAGCAGACATCTGCCAAAGAATTACTGCCCTCTGTTCTACAGCCACAACAAAATACATACGGAACAAAACATAAAGACAACAAAGACAGAGCTTTCAGATATAATTGAGCTCTGTTGACAAACTGCATATAACCTGGTGAGACACATTTGATGTCCTGCATAAAACAGTAATAGATAATAAAATTGTGTTGAATACCCATGTTTATAGTAGCCAACAATGACAGTGATCAACAAGTAATATGGCATGCTACCAGCATAATTCAAAATCAGACTCATGAAAATTATGAGGAAAATAACAGAAAAGATACCCATTTATTCAAGGCAGTTAATAAAAAGAATCGTTGGCCCATAACCATACTGCTTTCTTAACTATATCTATGCTGCATCAATTTCTTATAAAAACAACCTGTGGAATCCTCTGAAGAATGAATAGGTGTCAACATGACAACTGAGTAAGCAAGACATGCACAAGTCCCAACCTCTAGGAGGGGTCTGACTTCTAGTTATGTTCTCTCCTGCCCAATACATTCATGAGCAAATCCAAGGGTACTCCTTAAAACCCACACATAGATCAAGCTTATCAGGTTTATTGACAGCAGCTGTCAGTATGCATGTTTTACTCAAGAACAAAACCTCCATGACTATCAGTTCAACAACCTTGATCTCAATAGGGGTAAAAGCTAATCACTACTAGGAACATAGAAGGCGCGGATCAATGTAACATTCAATTTTGAATTGTATAAGAGAATGCGATTTACAGATAGTTTGATACTTGGTAAATTTTCCTAATCTATTAAAGCCATGTATTAGAGAGGTTTAAGAATCCATTCTCTACTTCCATTTCCTTATGCTTGTCTAACCTCTACTTAAGCTATGCGCATGCAAATATCCAAAATGGTTTAAGTAGTAATAGGTTTTGGAGAATGGGACAGTAGAATGGTGGTAAGGGAGAGTTAATCAAAGTGAAGGACCTGTAAAATGTCATATGGAAATCTACAACTTTTTAAGTCAGTTAAAAACACACATCACACACACACACACACACACACATACACACACAAACATGACCCAAAAGATTGTTCAGGACTCCTGTGACCAAGTCTGACAACCTGAGTATGATTAAACTTAGTTTGATCTTGAAGGTTCTTGCACATTATCTTCTGATGTCTACATGCCTGCCTTAGAACACATGTACATGTGCACACATCATGTGTGAACACTCAAATAACACAATACATAAAATAAAATGTTACAGGGATGACATCTTGCATGACTAGATAACGAAACTCCTAGAAGCCACTGTTTACAAAACAAAAATTCCAGGTTCTAGTGTTAGGATACCTCTTTGTATATTGTTGATCAGGTGTCTCCAAAACCATATAGACTCTTGACACTCATCTTGATTGGCCACCCCAACTAGATGGTAAGAGTTAGCTCTAAAAACACTACTCGCTTTGGTTGCAAGATATAGTAAAATAAAAACAAGTCCCAGTTCCTTTATCAATGGCTTCTCAGTCAGCTCCCATTGTCAGCCACAATCAGAGAGTCCGGTTTGATCACATGCTCATTCAGACCCAGTCCAGATGGATTTGGTGAGCTCCCATTAGAACAGGCACACTATCTCAGTGTTTTTATGGCATGTTCTGGCTTTTTGGGACCCTAGTCTATATGGATGCACAGCTCCCTAGACCTGGATGTAGGGGGGAGGGCCCTGGACTTCTCACAGGACAGAGTTCCCTGCCCTCTCTCAAGCAGGGTGGGAGAGGGAGGAGGGAGAATGGGGGAGCGGGAGGGCATTTGGAGGAGGAAAGGAAGTGTAAATAATTGAATGAAAAAATAAAAATAAAATAAAAAGAAGATATAGTAAAATAAATCTGGGATTATTCATGGTTGGATAATGTTCATAGTTCTGAAAGTTCCTAGAGAATACCTTCATGATCTTTCCCAGCTGTGAACTCCATGAATTCCAATATCAATTTGACAGGCAAGAGGTACAAAAACATGGCCTGACTGTTACAAAGTAACTATTTTCTCTCAGATCATTATTGTGGGCCATTCCAAAGGAATGAACACTTGTCTGATAATGTAACTGGGTTAAGAAAAAAAAAAACAAATAAAACATGACTTGGAAAATTACGTGCCTGAGAATAAAAATTCCTACTATACTTTAGATAAATTGACATGAACCTAAACTGTATTGTAAATATCTATGTTTATATCTATAGATAAATTCTACTTGAATCCTTAATTGATAAACTTCATTTCAACATATATGCATATTTACAGCTACTAGGTATAAGAATGAGACCATTGAGTACACGACCCAAAAGAGGACATTTATATGCTGTGGGAAAATGGATTTGTACTCTGTAAAGATTTGTCACTTGTATTTTAATAAAATTATGATTAGCCAATAGGCAGGCAGGAAGTATAGGTGAGGTGACCAGGCATGAAGTATAGGCGGAGTGATGAGAACAGGAGAATTCTGGGAAGAGGAAAGAGTCAGTCTGTAGTTGTCACCCAGACACGGAGGAAGCAAGATAAGAATCCCTCACTGACAATGGTTCCAAGTCACGTGACTAACACAGACAAGAGTAATGGATTAATATAAGAGGTAAGAATTAGTTCATAAGCCCCTTCCCCCAGGACTGGCTATGCGCTCATGTGCGCTGAGACCACGCAGACCTCGTCGGGATTCTCCGGAACTTATTTTGTGTCTTAGACGTAGTAGCCGGAGGGATTAGAGAACAGTTTTACTTCCGTTGACGCCGGAAGCAGTTTTGCGATGGCATCTTCTGCAGACGAGCCTGCTAAAGCAGCTCGAAAAAGTGACTCTCAAAAGCCGAAGCAGAAGCGCGAGAACCAAGATGAGGCGGAACTCCTCACTGTCCCTGATGGTTGGAAGGAACCAGCTTTCTCCAAAGAGGACAATCCCAGAGGGCTCTTGGAGGAGAGCAGCTTTGCGACCTTGTTCCCAAAATACAGAGAGGTTTACCTGAAGGAGTGCTGGCCTCTGGTGCAGAAAGCCTTGAACGAGCATCATGTCAAAGCAACACTGGACTTGATCGAGGGTAGCATGACCGTGTGTACAGCCAAGAAGACGTTTGACCCGTACATCATTGTCAGGGCCAGAGACCTAATAAAGCTCTTGGCGAGGAGTGTTTCCTTTGAACAGGCAGTACGGATACTTCAGGATGATGTTGCATGTGACATCATTAAAATTGGTTCTCTGGTGAGAAATAAAGAGAGATTTGTGAAAAGAAGACAGCGCCTTATTGGTCCCAAAGGATCTACACTGAAGGCATTGGAACTCCTAACAAACTGTTACGTCATGGTTCAGGGGAATACTGTTTCAGCCATTGGACCTTTCAGTGGCCTGAAGGAGGTTCGAAAAGTTGTGCTTGATACCATGAAGAACATTCATCCAATTTATAATATTAAAACCTTGATGATTAAACGGGAGTTGGCCAAAGATTCCGAGTTACGAACCCAGAGTTGGGAAAGATTTTTGCCACAATTCAAGCACAAAAATGTGAATAAACGCAGGGAACCAAAGAAGAAGAGTGTTAAGAAGGAGTACACGCCATTCCCTCCTCCGCAGCCGGAAAGTCAGATTGATAAAGAGCTGGCTAGTGGCGAGTACTTTCTCAAGGCCAAACAGAAGAAGCGGCAGAAGATGGAAGAAATCAAGGCCAAGCAAGCAGAAGCTCTTACAAAGAGGCAGGAAGAAAGAAACAAGGCGTTCATTCCACCTAAAGAAAAGCCGACTGTGAAGCCAAAGGAAGCTCCTACTGAAACTAAGATTGATGTGGCGGCTATTAAGGAAAAGGTTAAGAAAGCAAAGGCCAAGAAACTGGGAGCTCTTACAGCAGAGGAAGTTAAGCTTAAGATGGAGGCCGACGAAAAGAAACAGAAGAGAAAAAAGTAACACTGGGAAAACCTGGAACTGAACTTTGAAAGGCATTTCCTTTTGTAAAGGATTTTGAGACTGCTTTAGCTGCCTCATCTAACAGTGGTCATGCTCAGAAAGTCATGACCAGAGTGCTGTCTGTTCATGGACAGTCTTTGTAAATACGTTCATATGTATTCTAAAGTTTGTGTGAGACAATGATAGATACCGATGTACATTGTGGCCAATCAGTCTAGACATAACTCTTTTATATAGATTTTGGAACAAGATTATTGATCAAATCCAATGTCTGTTGCCGTTGGTTAGTCTTTGTAAACATACCCAAAGCATTTGGTTTTGAGGAAAATAAATGCAAGATTTCCACTGCTAAAAAAAAAAAAAAAAAAAAAAAAAAAATTAGTTCATAAGAAGCCCGAGATAATAGGCTGACCTCTGTGTGTTTCTTTGGGACTAAATGACTGCAGGACCGGGCAGGACAAAAAGCTCTGTCAACACTTACACATTCCCTACTAAGGTTCAGAGAATACCATGAGATAATGTAAAATTGAGGTGACAGGTAGAAGGTATTTACATTTCAATTATCAAACTATAGCATGGTCTTTGTAAACCTGACTGCATAGAAGCCCTGGTTTCCTTTACTGGGCCTGTAAAAGACTGAAGATGTCAACAATTGATCATAGATTATGGAGGAACTTACCCATATCTAATGAACAGGTGAATATTGATGGATTATGGTGCATTTCCTTCAGTTGCATACCCACAAGTGAGCCCATCAGTTTTCAAAGTATGAAATTCCAAACCTGTGGTCACAGAAGGTCTTGGTTAATCTCAAAGGGTCACAACACAAAGCAAAGAGATATGAACCTGGGAAGTGAACTTGTAGAAGATAGGATGTGGTAGCATTGGTGAGAAAGAGAGATGAGAGAAGGTGGGGAAAAGGCGGTAAATAGAATATATTATGAACATGCATCAAATTGTCAATGGAAACATTCTATCAGTTACATAAATACAGTCCTCTTATGTCCAAAGACATTCAACAAACATTTATTAAATTCCTACTATTAAAATAATTTTTAGAACTTCATCATAACAATAATAATTGCCATTTTTTGAGGAGTAGACATTGTGTTAATAGATTTCTATTTTAAAGTTCACAGTAATCTCAGGGGATAGATGCATATTATTCACTGCGAAGGCAAAGCTTGTGTTAATGTGTCAAAATTATTAAGAGATTCAAAATGAACAGTCTTCTTCTGTCCACAAGAATTAACCCTGATAGAGTAAAGATATAGGAATGTTAATATAGCAAAATCTAAACTAGAATTCAAGGCTATTTAGTTTTTAAAAATGGATGGTGATGATGTCTGTATGGAGAATAAAACTACACAGAGAACTAGATTGCATACAAGATAAATCTGGAAGCACAGTGCTGTCATTACCTTGGCTAAGTGATTCACAGAACCAGGTATACATTTGCATTCTCTCAATTAACTATAACTCTACTAAGAAATCTGCTTCTGTTTCTAGTTTATAGGTTGAGACATCAATTTAGGTATGTTAAAAGTAGTTCTTAACCTAAGATTGAACCACAGTCACATGGAATGTTTATTAAAATACAGAATGCTTGGGCCCCATATACTAAGATTTTGGTTCAGTGGGTCTAGACTGGGAACACAAATCCTGGATTTTAACCAAGTTCTCCGGTGATGCTACTGGGAGTCTGGGGTTCCATTTTGACGGGTGCTTGTTAAAACAATTTAGCAGAAATCTCACTTTGTAAGTGTGCAGGTGGAATAGTTCGTCAACACTGATGCGTCCCCTTGAGACTCTACTGTGTTCCTTTCCCTCCGCTTCTCTAGGCTTCCTATTTAGTGAGTGAAGGAGTTTTATCAGTCTGTTCACTCTGCCTGTGCTCTTCTCCTTTCCCTACTTGCCCGTGGTATTTCCACTTCTTTTCTTTTATGGCTGATAGAAATCATTGTCTTGCTTTATAATTACACATTTTGTCAAGTGAGACAGGGTCTTTCAAATGAATTAACTGAGTCTAGGTGAGGCATCTGCATATGTGTCTCTATACGTTTCAGGAACAGCATTTTATGTCTCTGTCACACAGGTGATCTTATGACTTGGACAAGAAACTTATTGAACTTCCATGTCTCAAGGTTCAGAATGGAAGATATTTCTTCAGGTTTATTAGTTGGTAAATTCAGGATTTATAGGATTTCCAAATTTCCACAGATTGCACATTCTCACCGGGGAAAAGTCATTGAGATGCATCTTTCATTATCAAGGCTATAACGAAATAAGGTTACTAGATAGTTTTTATTTTAAAGTATGGTTATCCTTAATTTCTGAAATCATTCTCTAATCAGACATCAAAAACTAAAATTTTCATTAGCAAAAGCAGACAGAGTCAAATTTTCAATTCTAATCAGATTGCTAAAATTAATAGAGGCTAAGTATCCATACACATTAGAAAACGAAGAAATTGGAAAAAAAGCAAAAATATATTCACTATTCAACGATTGAGGGCATCAGTCAGGAAAGGGATGTGAAGTTGCTGAGTAAATCCTGTTTTGTGGGAGTGGGCCAGGTTTATTTCACTTGCTATGCAGAGCGATGTCAAATAGCTTTTCATAAAATAATCTAAAATGCACGTGTTTGGAAGGCTGCTTCTGTTCTCTTCCGCTGGATAGTGAATGCACAGCATTCTTTAAACACATGTGTGAACTAAGCTAAGCAAAGTTCTGAAGTGACACACCTTCTTTTACATAATAATCGAAGACACTTCTGAGACTGAGGCTTCCCAGACTTAACTAGATCACTCTAGGGCACTTGGAAAAGAAGTCCCTCATGCAGCAGGAGATCTTAAAAGTAGAACACATATTTTACAGTCTTTTATACCAAGAGGGACTTCTGATTTGTGCCTGAGGTCTATACAAATCTAAATTGACACAGTCCCCTATTTTACACTTTTAACAACCAAACCTTTTGAATATGATTTACTTTTCTGATTTGCCTCTAAGGAACTCTCTCAAAATGAAGCAAATGTTTAACAGGGCAAATTATGTTATTTGTATAAGAGGATTTCTGAAAACCTCCAGCATTAAATATTGAAGAAAATCACAGAGAAGAAATTATGGTAGAATTCAAAATTTCCTAGCCAGAGCTTTGGACAAGAAGTGCAGGGATATCTCTAGTCCTAAGTGCTTTGCTCAAAGAGGAGTTAACTCACTGTAGGAAAGGGGTCAAGCTTTCACTGTTGCAAACAGACAAAGTTGAAAGCCACAAAGGCCTTGCAAGTAAGTGGTGGCCCCAAGCACTAACCAAAGAACAAGCCCCTGTGAACTCTTTGGAGAGGTCTGGGGTCATGTGTTCAATCTTTTCACATCCTTTTGCATCAAGGAAAAAGCATGGTCCCAGACTTCATCTTCAAATGCGGGGTTGAAGTCATGTACAGCAAGGGTCCTGCTCCTCACACCTGGACAGGTAACAAAGGTATATATTACTCTGGTCATCGAGTTGTTGATCTCTTATGCATAGCACAGCTAGAGACATCTGCTTTTTCTATAATAGGAACAACACTTCACTGTGTCTGAACATAAAGCATTCTAAAGATAAAAGTGCACCCCAAAGCTGAGCATGAATTTATGTTGTATCTGGAACCTGGGTGTTTAAATAATACAAACATACTTACTCCACCATCTCTTCTACTGATGCTCAACATGACTCTAATAACAGAAATTTCATATCTTAATGTCTGCAGTTGTGCAACATAGAAGCTTAGGATTTCAGTTTGCTTAATTAGCCTTAGAAAATAATGCAAGATATTCAGCCCAATTATTTAGGGTAAAACAGGGTTTTCAGTCCTAATAGTAATGGTGTTCTGGAGCTTATCAGTTACAGTGATAGTCCTACAAGTCTTGGGTGTTGCTTTTAATTGTTGTTATATTTTTTGGTTTTCTTATCTTTTTATTTACTGTATACTTCATAAGCCTAGAGTTAAATAAACTTCATGTAACAGTCATAGGTAAAGGAAAATATGACAAATTCAGTGCATGTACCTTTATTACTTTAAATAATAATTATAATTATCAGAAAATAATGATTCTCTTTTGCTTTATCTCTCGTTTAAATGACACAGCAACTGTAATACTTATTATGGATAGAGATCTGAAGGATTTCTTCTATTTCTGAAAACTTTATCAATAAACTTCTTGTTATAGAAACTTGCTAAGAAACATGGTTAGTGTATTGTCATATTTCAATAATAACTACAAATGAATGGATTTAAAAATCAACTTAGCTATATAGATAAATAAATCATTACCTGATGGTTATTCCAATAAACAATATGCATATTTTGCAATATGTTTCAGAAGGGGAGATGATTCCAGTATGAATGAAAATACTTAGGTGATGCTTATGTGAGCCTCAATATCTGAAAGTTGCTTGTTTATGTAAATTAATGAATTAATTGAGATTATTTAGGAAATTATTTCAAAATATTTAAAGTTGTGCCTTTTGCCATTTATGCTATTGTCTTTGATAAGAAAAAAGTGGAACTTGGACTCAAACAATGGCTGTGGTTTTTGGCCTGCAAAATCTGATGACTATACATCATTATAGCTCTAAAAATAGCAAGGTATGCCATCAAACCCTGAAGATCAATGTGCTTGGGTTTACATTGTATACAGCACTGCAATTGAACCTACAAATTAGAGTCATCAGGGTAGAGGTTTTATATTTTATTTTAAAGGAAATAGAGCTTCAATGAATACTTTCAAACTGCCACATGATATGATAAACATGATATTCTCACAGAGTAAGTTCAAGGTCTGAAATCAAAATAACTGCATCAAAAGATCTTAACATCTGAGAAACTACCAGCTTGGTATTGTTATAGCACACATGATATTTGTTCATACTATTTGAGGTGGAACACATACTATGAATAAGAAAATCTTGATGGTCACTGATCCACTGATATAAAACATGATAGAATGAAGAAATGATTCTATGATAGTAGGTAATTCTGAGCATCTAAAAAAAATCTATGTTTTGGGCTGGGGAATGGTTAAGTGGGTTGGTCTGTGCTGTGTAATCATGAGGA